TGAACCTGAAGGGCATTATGCTGAATGAAATAAGTCAATCACAAAAGGACAAATATTGTATGAAACCACTACTATAAAAACTCATGAAAAGGTTTACACACAAAAAGAAACAATCTTTGATGGTTATGAGGGAGGGGAGGGTGGGAGGGAAAAACACTAAACAGGTAATAGATAAGCAGTAACTTTGGTAAAGAGTAAGACAGTACACAATACTAGGGAAGCCAGCACAAGGCAAGGTCATAGAAGCTCCACAGACACATCTAAACTCCCTGAGGGACCAAATTACTGGGCTGAGGGCTGTGGGGACCACAGTCTAGGAGAACAACTAGCTCAACCAGCATAACACAGTCTATAAAGAAGAAGTTCTATATTCTACTTTGGGGAGTAGTGTCTGGGGTTTTAAAAGCTTGTGAGCGGTCATCTAAGATACTCCACTGGTCGCATCACGTCTGGAGCAAAGGAGAATGAAGAAAACCAAAGACATGAGGGAAAGATCAGTCCAAAGGGATAATGGACCGCAACTACCACAGCCGCCACCAGACTGAGTCCAGCACAACTAGATGGTGCCCAGCTATCACCACCAAGTGCTCTGACAGGGATCACAATAGAGCATCCTGGACAGAGCTGGAGAAAAATGTAAACCAAAATTCTAACTCATTTAAAAAAAGACCAGACTTACTGGTCTCACAGAGACTGGAGAGACCCCAAGAGTATGGTCCCCAGACATCCTTTTGGCTCAATAATGAAGTCACTCCTGAGGTTCACGCTTCAGCCAAACATTAGACAGGCCCATAAAACAAAATGAGACTAAATGGGCACACCAGCCCAGGGGCAAGGATGAGCAGGCAGGACGGGACAGGAAAGCTGGTAATGGGGAACTCATGGTCGAGAAGGGAAGAGTGTTGACATGTTCTGGAGTTGGCAACCAATGTCACAAAACAATATGTGTATTAATTGTTTAATGAGAAACTAGCCTGCTCTGTAAACCTTCATCTAAAGTACCCCCCGACCAAAATAAAAAATTCCATTTCCACAACAGTAAAGCGGTAAGTTATCTATTTATCAGAATTTAAATGAAGAATAGAACTAATATGCAGAGCACGTTACACAGAGAATTTTCAGTAAATAGTAGTTCTAATTATTTGTCCACTGTATTAGAGCTATTTTAAAACATGGATATTACTTCCATCTTAAATCCAAAATGATCTGGCAGTCATTTAAACACAACAACTATCACATAAAGAAACACAGATTATCACAAAGAGCAGCTATTAAGAAATTTATTTAATAGGGATCACTCATTCTGTCGACAAATTATATGCTGAATTCCCTTACATACCTGGTACTCGAACTGTATCTAACGCAAAGAAAATCACTTATTAGACTGTAAAGAATTCCTTACTATATAAATATTGATCCATGATAAAATACCTAGAAATTCAAGACCTGTGTTTTTCCAATAACTCTGTGGATCTAAAAAATTAAACGTACTCTCCCTTAGTAAGTCTGTTGAAAAGCAAAGAATTTTTGTATCATATGTACATTTATAAACATGGTGCTTTGGCTTAAAAGACAGCTTTAAGTTATCAAAAGCCTAAATGTTCATTTCATTTGTCCCTCAAAAATTCCATTTCTAAGACTTTACTCTTAAGGAAATAGTCACAGATACATGCAAAGGATGTTAACCAGAGTCTCATTTATAATACCAAAACACTGCTAAGTTAAGTATCAAGTAATAACAGGCTGACTGGAATAAGATTTGGTACACCCCTACGATGGATTAAAGACATAATTAAAAAGAACCTTAACTCATACGGAAAATTGTGAAAACAAGATATAAAACCATGTGGACAGAATAATCCCAATTTCATGAGAAATTAATTAAATAACAAGGCTGGAATGAGAGATACCAAACGTATCAATACTGGTTTTCTCTGAAAGCAAAAAAATCAAACCCACTGCCGTCAAGTCAATCCTGACTCACAGTGACCCTATAGGACAGAGTAGAAACGCCCCATAGGGTTTCCAAGGCTGTAATCTTTACAGAAGCAGACTGCCACATCTTTCTTCTACGAAGCAACTGGTGGGTTTGAACTGCCAACCTTTTGATTAGCAGCCAAGTGCTTTAACCACTGTGCCACCAGGACTCCTTGTGGTTTTCTCTGACTTGAGGACTTACGGTGATTTTTTTTGTTTCAGTTTTTCCAATTTACCACAATTTTCAGCAGTAAAAAGGTGTTACTCTAGTAATCAGGAAAAAACAGACTATTAAAAACAGATCTTAGTTTTGCAGTCAATTATCCTTTCCCCACTCAAAAAGCTGTTACTACTGTAAATTAAAAACAGGTATGATGGGTTTAAGATTTATATGCAATCAATACATGCTGTAAATAAGCAGTCTAAAGAACCAGTAACTCCCCTTTGGTGGCAAGCCACTTGCAAGAGGCTGAAGTGATCTGAGAATGGTGCTTAGCGGGCAGCTAGCTGTGTTATGGTAGAAAGAAAATTTTACTATCAGCTTAAATACTCACTTTGCCACTTGCTAGCTATGTAAACCTTAATTCAACAACCCTCTAGGCAGTTTCTTCATCTGTAAATAAGTAATATCATTACCTCGCCTATTTACACAGAAAGTATCTGATACACAACAGGCATTCAGTAAGCAGATTTAAGTCTGAGCCTGAACTCAGATACACACACAGAACACTCATCTATTCACAGTGTTTCTCTGTTAGAAGCAACATTACTTCTTAATTATATACAATAAGTCACACTTAAGGGTAAATTTTGTTTGCATTTACCTGTTGCTGTCCTTGCTGAGCCTGTGGGGTAGTCTGCTGATTAGCAGAATTAGATGCTGCGGCGGCAGCGGCGGCTTGCTGCTGGAAAAGACTGGCAGGGTAGACTCCCCAGGGAGTAACTCCATAATACTGGTGAGGGACCACAGCCGGGCCTAAAAGTAGCAAGAGAAACTTAAGGAAAGTTTATACTAGTTAAGAGTCATCTCAGGGTTTCCAAAGACTATATCTGACTCAGCAGATCCTACTATAAAATATTAACTTGACTATACATATTCATTCTGGCTGATTATAAACTCTCTTTTTTAAAAACAGAAAATATTACACGAGATCTACCACACCTAACTCTTCTAATGTTCAGTAACATGCCCAAAGGAAGAAGCCAGTGAAGGACAAAGAGATCTAAAGGAAAAGTAACTGGCAGAAGAAGTTAGAAGGGATAGGCTTAAGTACAAATGAAGGAATTGGCCTTGGTCAGGAAGAAGGCATGTCTTTTTCCAGAGAAAGAAAAGATACAGGATAACTACAAAGTTTGTTGGAAGGGAGAGAAATGGAGAGTTCATATGTTTAAAGAACAGAACAAAAGATTAAGTTCTATAATTCTTTCAATGGTAAAAATGGCAGCTAGAGGTTCCTGAGGTGATTGATAGGGACAGGAATCCTGGGGCTTCATTAACTCCAGAAGCATGAAAATCTATCAGTCTTCTTACTGACAAAACCCAGAAACTCAACTGACCCTCCAGTGTTCAATCTCTAAGAGGTTTGGTTTTCCTATTTCTATTTTTAAAGTAGGACTACCATCACAAAAGTCATCCCACACAACTATATTCAGACATTACTACACAAAACTTTAAATTTATGAACTCAAAGTTGAACACAGCCACACATCAAAAAAAAAAAAAATACAACGTCTTGACTTGTTGTCACAGACCTGATGCTGAGTATCCTCAACACAACTAAGCATTCTGTTTTAATCCAATTATCTATTCACTCTTTGGCAGCAAGCAACAGCTGCAGTCCCTGCCACACAAGAGTAGGCAACAGAGAGGTAACAGAGCTATGTAGACAGCAACCTGGACGTGGCAGAAATCTAAATCATAGAAATTATCTGATGAAGCTGATGGCAAGAAACATTTGCCACCCAAGAGAGAGGCTCAAAGTCAGCCCTTCAGCTTTGCTAAAACACATCTCTGATTTAAACCTTCTCAGTTAAAGATCAGAGTTCAATGTGTAATTTTGATTCACTGATAATAATAATCATGCCTTACATTGCAGTTCCAAGCAGTTGTTTCAAATATTATTGCTACTCTGACATAATTCTGGAGGAACATATTCTTCATTAAGTCAAAATAAATTGGTACATGTTTTTGTTTCTCCATTTTAAGCTTCTTAAACACAAATAAGGCAGACTGAATCACTGTCCAATAATATGCTCTGACATTTCTAACTTGGTATTTTCTGCACCTGTGGGTTTAAACCAAAATCAAGAAGCTCTGTTTAAAAGCAAGGGTGCCTACTGTGAAACACACAAAACTACACCTCAGTGCAGAATGAAGGCGTTGCTTAGAAAAGCTATGTTAGAATAAGCACTGCTTTATTTTAATAAGCAAATGGCTTTAAAAAAAATTTTACACTTGTCAGAACCTGAAGCATCTAAAAACCATACCTCTAAATTAAAGACAAAGAGTGGCTGCAACCCAGGTTCCCCAAAAGCCAACAAAGTGAACCTCATCTGGGCACAGACTGCTCTTACCACAGACATTTATATTATCCTTTTAAGTTTTCTCAACAGGCATTTCTACTACTTTACCCTTATCATGTGGCCTATGATTTTGAGTTTAGGAAAATCCCCCAGGATGCATCATTAATTTAGCTTGCCTCACCAGGATACCCACTTCGATTCTCTGTGACTGACACTGTGTAAACCCAAAACCAAACCTACTGCCGTTCAGTCGATTCCATCTCACCGTGACCCTATAGGATAGAGTAGAACTGTCAGATAGGCTTTCCAAGGCTGTAAATCTTTATGGAAGCAGACTGCCACATCTTTCTCCCCATGAAGCAGCTGGTGGGTTAGAACCACTGATCTTTTGGTCAGCAGCCGAGTGCTTTAACCACTGTGCCACCAGGAAATACACAGTTCCATAGTTTGAGTAGTTAACATTTCTGTGTGAAAGAACTTATCTTCAGTCTGGTTCAACCGATAAGTACGAACAGGAAGATTCTCATCACCAAACTATCATCTCAGTGAGGGCAAGTGTGTCATTCCTATAATCAGTTCTTTATTTCAAGTAACATATATTAAGTTAGGAGAGAAAGGGACATTTAAAGAAAGTAGAGACAATTCAAGATAATCAAGACATTATGTACCGTATAATGCATGGACATCAGAGTCAGACCCTGTTCAAACCCTGACTCTACAACATTTAAATTATATGCCCTCAAACAAGACAACTCTCTAAACCCCAATTTCCTAATCTGTAAAATCATCCTCTAACAACTCATGTGAAAGAAAGCACTCAGCATAATGCCTGGCAAAAAAGTGCTCAATCAGTATTAATGATGATTAACAAAGATTATTCTACTAACAACAGCTTTCTATTTCTCCAAAGGCTGGGGAGGGAGAGGGAGCACACTAAATATGTTCCCATCACAATCCATGCCAAAATGTGAATACTTCTACAGAAAATCGTAAGAAAGGAAGCTATACAGCTTGAGTTTATAATTGCAAATTGTATGATATATAATAAAAAATAAAATCTTAACGATAATATTTAGTCCTGATTCACATGATTCCGAGGGACCTGCCCCCGAAGAATATTTACTTTGGAAGACATTTTAGTTTGTCCTAAAGTTGAATTCACTCAACCATACATTTATGAACCCACTACAGAGACAGCAACTGTGCCAACAGCAACTGGGCCACAGAGTCAAATAACAAAGGTGCCTGCTTTTGAAAGAGTTCCGACTCAATGGAAAGGGGAGATGGGACACTCACGTATACACCCACAAGCAAATAAATACAATGCAGTAATTAGTAATACAGACAGTACAGAAAAGGGTCAGCAAGAAAGTCTTTTCAGGGGTGACTAGGGCACCTAAGGAGCATCCCAGGCAAAGAATGGGAAAAGTTTACTATCCAAGGCTAGAGACCATACAAGCAAACACACAGGGGCCTAAAGCTATATGGTATATGCAAGCAAACTAAAATCAAGATGTATGATCTGAGCCAATGGTAGCCAATTTGAAGGGAAGAGAGTGGTGCACGAGTAGAGACTACCCTGCACAAGTCAGGAAGAAAGCTATGTACATAGAGGGTCTCAACCCTAGCTCATTCCTCTAGATTACCTGTTAACACCTCCAAAATACTGATTCTGAGGAAAAACACCCCACCTACCACCCAAGTAGGTGCCGGTGATCAGTCATGTTTGATAATAACTGCATGTCATATCAAGGTAGATAAGAGATAATAGAGGGTTTTAAGCAGAAAGATGAAATGGTAAGGTTTGTGTTTGAAACTGTTTTCTTGAACAATATGGGAGGACGGGATGGGAGGAAGAGGCAAAAAAATTAGGAATACATAAGAGACCAGCTGCAGACCGCGTGAACTGTGATAGACTGGAAGTAGCAGGAAAATCTGTGCAAGGGGGTAAACTCCAGAAATCTATATAAGTAACTGGTAGCTCCATGGATTAAAAATACATTCCAGGGGGTACGTGATTAATTAACCTTTAGACACGTTTAAGTCTGAGGTGTCCATGTTACAGCTAAGTAAAGATCTCAGCTAGTGGGGAGATGGCACTGGATATCAGGAGAGAAATCTCCACTGGAGACATGGATTTGGGAAAGAGTATATAAAGAATGCATGCCCATGCCAAATGACTTTTTAGCAAATGAGGAAGTCCCTCAGGCAGCAGAATGTCTCACCTAGTGTCGCTGCTGCAGCCAGTCCAGCTGTGTATGGGTCCGTCCCTGGGGGAGCAGCACTGATGATGTATGGGTTGGGGACAAACGCAGCGGGCGCTAAACCTGCTGAAAACATACCTGTCAGTAAAAACAAAGCTGACTAAAATTATAGCCCTACCAAATACCTACATGGTTTGTCTATTCATTCCCGGCTGTAGGTGAGAAGGGGCGGGGGGGGAGATAGGATAGGTTAAGAGTAAAGAGAGGTTTTTAAATAAATAAATATAATAACCCCTATACTAAAGATTATACTGACATTTATCTAGTCTTTTTTTTTTTTTTGTTTTTTACCTCTGCTAAAGAAATACAATTAAAACTTTATGCAGTTTTAAACTCGGCATAACTTCTAAAAGATTGTTTTATAATACTTTGTTTTGAAGAGACCTTTAAAGAGTATAGCCCCCCTCCCAAAAAAAGAGCTACATAATAAGACAAAAGTTTATGTAAAAACAAAACTTTTAACAATTGCTGCAGGAAAAGGGCAAAGTTACTTTAAAAACCAATGACTATAGAATACTTTTTAAAATGGTCAGTGCATACTACTTGGAAAATGGATTTATAGGTGCTACTTAATAAGATAAGCAGTTGATATATTTAAAGTCTATACAAGCCCCAAAAGGACAAAACTATTGTTATTTAATCCAGTTCACTCAACTTTACCAAAAAAGCTGATGCCAGTCACTACTGTAATAAATACTTTAAATCCTGAAACAGGTGAAGCAGGGCAATAGCTGGATATCGAAAGAAGTCTTAGGAGCTGAAGTCTAGAAGGTATACCAAAAATAGAGAATGTGGCTAGAGAAGAGTGGACAAGAGGAAGAGGCCATTTACTGTCTGAGGAATTTGTCTGGACTTTTATGACCTGTCTAAACTGCTGATCTAAAATGGTGGCAACATCTGTAACAAGGGAGCGATAGGCTTAAGGACTTACCAATGTGAGGTTGATGAGCAGCTGCTAGTGCATACTGCTGCTGCTGAGCAGCTGTCAACTGCTGGACAGCAAGCGCGTTAGGTCTTTGGAATAGCTGAGATAAAAGAAAGACATGGTGTGGTTAAAGAAACTGTCTCATTAAATAATTGTAAAACCTCTCAGTAAAAATTTCAATAAACTCTTAAGCAGAATACTTTACACAAAAATAGATATTCTCATACTGTACTCCATCCCCATGGTACTGCGATGCCTTCATAGTTCTTCTGTTTTCTCTCTCTTTACCTCCATTTCCATGAACCTAGTTCCCACAGGCTGACTGCTTCACAGATTACCTGCCCCTCTGAACCACAAACATACATATATAAATTCTAATGGTTGTCAACAGGTCAGCGGGTCCTCCCTAAACCAAGGCACACTTAAAAATTAGACAAGTGTTCTATAAAATAACTTACCACATTACCCCTATTGCTGTAATCTCCCTTCAGTTCTTTCTAGACCCTTACCTATTCATATTTTGAAAAGGAATACAAAAAGTGTTCATTTCATCCTCTGGACTACATCTTCTCAGGAAAATGATATTGGATACATTTTTCAACTAGCAGCTCATCCTAAAAATTTGGTAAAAGGCTGAAACTGAAGCTCATGAGTAAATCATACAGCTAACTGACTTTGGGGGCTCCCATATCTCTTAGGATACCTTTATATATAGGGAACAAAACAGTAGAAGTACAGTCACTACTAGGAAATACTAGATATGAGCTCAGACCTAGTACACTCTTTAGTTTCCAAGAAAAGGAAAGGAGTTCACACAAGGCCTTGACACTAAGAATATCCCAAGATTCTACCTTAATACAAAGTCAGTCATTCATTCATTCAACAAATATTTATGAAATAATACCTGCTAGGCACTGTGCAAGGAACTAGGGATACAACAGTGACTAAAACAACACATAGTCCCTGCGCTCATAGAGAGTACATTTTAGTACAGCCAGTACTGCTACAAAGGAAGGGGATGCCAGTAACCTGATTTGGGATCACACTATGTGCCTCCTTTCAAGAAGTCATACTGGAGACTTCATTATTTGCTGAAATTAGACTGACAGCACTTACTGAAGGGACCTCCCTGGATAGAACCTTCAACCTACCTGCTCTTTCTACAGGATTTTTCACCAGCTCAGCTGACATCACTGGATGATGTATAACAGACACCATGGATCTTGAATTACAGATGTCCTCATAAAGAGACCTGATTGTTTCAGACATTAGGAGATAATGTCATTCTACCAACTCAGCTTAATTATCAACAGGACTGAACTTACTGTTATCCTAGGCGGTGGAAAGACTTTATCCTGTGATTTGGCTATATATATGCCTCAAATATACAAGGTAGGATGATTTTAAATAAAAAACAAAAGAATTTATACACTGGTGAATATTTCAAATGTACTAGCCCATTTCACCTGTTAGCTCCCTTTCTATATACGTTTATCTTTCTAAAAACCAGAGTAAATTTACTCTTTCCTTTTACAGTATTAATGTCAAAAGTAACCGCAGGCAGATTTTCAAAGGTTAACGAAAGAAAAACTTCATTACAATGACAGTAAAAAGAAAAAATACTACCTTAGAGGCATTCATTAAATATCAAATCTTAAAAAGAAACACTGGAATCATACCAGGCATATCAAAACACTTGTCACTCTAGGCAAGGAGCCAGTCACTACTATTGGGTAACTGTGATCTGGTGAGTTTTCCAAGCTGGTTTCACAACATTTCTGTTTTACCTAAAGGAAAGTGTCTCACAGTACTCCTACTAACAGGGGCAAGTCCACCTAAGTGGGGCAGCCAGGAGGCAGAAAATAAGTAAAATAGGGAAAAGTTGATTTTCGATTATTTCCAAGGTTGTAAAAAAAAAAAACCTCAGTTTCACTAAATACCTGTTTCTTCAATGGGTCTCTGGAATTTTCCTACCCTAAAACCTTTTGAAACATTTAACGTCTCAGACATTGCTCATGCTAGCCTCCTTCCCTCTGCCCTTGTTTGCCGTGCTATAAACAAATTAACTCATTTCATTCAACAAATGTATTTTGAGCACCTATTATTAGCTAGGCACTGTGACATGGAGCTGGGGAAATAAAAGATGTGTATTCAGAATATAACTCTTGGGGATATCTTCACTTATTAACCAAACAACAGTCCAATGCCATTCCATCTGACTTATCGTCACTTCATATGTATTTTAACATTACATATAATTCACTATATGCATGTGTACTGTATCTGTAAATATACACAGAAATACATAGTATTATAAATATTATAAAAGTACTCATTCTAAACAATATTAGTCTGTGGTTCTCACCACCATATTACCATAATTTG